GAGCAATCATGGCATTCCTGGCAACGAACTGGTCGACATGGAGGCAAGAAAAGCATCGAGAAGACGCACTGGTAATCTGGACTATGAAGCTATCCCTAGGAATCACATCAAACGTATCATTAAAGAACAATTAACCACCGGTCACGTCACGTCATTTGAAACCCAAGCGTCAGTCAGACTACGTCAAGTCATCAAGTCGTACGTCAAATTGGCAAAAATTAGAGGCTTCATCCATCAAAACCCGAAATCGATTAACCTGTTGACTATTCATGGACCAAACAAATACTATAGGAAGAAAATCGGTCAGATCGCTGATGATATGTGTGATCGTTGCTATGAAAAAGAGGATAACATCCATATAATAATGCGATGTAAAATATTCAATCAAATAAGGAAAGAGTATCTGGATATTGATGTTATTGAAGATTCCGATCTTGAAAGGCTTCTGAACACTGAGGAATGTGCAATAAGTTTCATTCGTTTTCTTGAAACTGTTTCAACTATTTTAGAAAGGGAAAGATATTCACCTGCAGCCTGAACCATAATCGATCTCAAAATCAATATTGTAAACTTCCCATGACTATGTTAGGCGATTGAAAGAGAAGTATTGTACTCACACAGTCACTTCGCGTCAGTCAAACTAAACAAGTCACGTCAAGTCAATCAACTCTATATACAAATTGTAAATATTTTTTTTTTTTTATTCTACTCTTTTAACACCTTTTATTGTTTTATCCTATTTTTATGTAAAGTCAAAAAAGACTGTAAATAACTCACCTACAGTCACGTCACGTCATGTTATATACGTAATATGTAATACTTCTAATCATTCAAGTCATGTACGTCAAACCTGGTCACGTAGTACCGGGATTTTCACTTCACGTAACGTCAGTCAATAAACGTCAATTTTAACCTTTTAAAAAAAAAAAAAAAAAAAACCTAACCTAACCTAACCTAACCTAACCTAACCTAACCTAACCTAACCTAACCTAACCTAACCTAACCTAACCTAACCTAACCTAACCTAACCTAACCTAACCTAACCTAACCTAACCTAACCTAACCTAACCTAACCTAACCTAACCTAACCTAACCTAACCTAACCTAACCTAACCTAACCTAACCTAACCTAACCTAACCTAACCTAACCTAACCTAACCTAACCTAACCTAACCCAACCCAACCCAACTGTTGAAGTGAAAGTCACGTTTTTTAGTGCTCCTAAAAAGTGATCTTATTTTTTGGTAAATTTACCTTTTTAATTTTTGTTTTTGTTTATTTTCAACTTATAAAGGTGGCCTGCAAACCCTGGGAATAGGTGCGTGAAAAAATTCCGGTCCTAAGCCCGTTTTTGGGACATCTCCCGAAATCACCACGTGGTCGCCAAAAACTAACCTACTTGGATCATCTTAAAACCTATTTTTTCGGAAAGCCCTATGTCTAATTGGTGACAAAAAGTCAAAGCGCGGTTAAAAAATTTGTCCTAACGGTCTCTACAGGCCAGAACAAAATCGACCTTCTGGAACCTTCGCATAGGGAGTGGGAAAAGTGGCCTTATTTTGATCATTTAACATCACCAACTTACTTACCATCAACCAAGGATCAAGGAAAACCTAAAGTTCCATCATTTGGCCTATCACAAGGCGATCTGTGGACCTTTTTGTTTTGTTAAAAACAACGTGGTGTTTGACATTGTCAAGGTTAAACGCCATTGTTAAAGCTGTTAGACCTTTTACGCTGTTTCAATAAGCCATATTTGGACATAAAGAGATAAAGCTGCCTAGCTATAGTCTACACTGGCCATAGGTGCATCTTAATCTTGAGGTCACAACAATATCGCCCATAAGTGCTGTTTTACTTTGTTTATTAACACGTGTTTACAATTGCCTTCGAGTTAACGCTTTAATTCTTAGATTTATTGAATCAATCCAAGTCAACATTGAATACCTACCAATAGATCAATCTAGTGGGACTATATCTATCTTTCTGAGAAAGTCCAAAAAGGTTAAACTGGCGTCAACATCTAATCTGGCAGATACCCCTGCGTAAATCGGAAGCAGAATCTATCATGCAAGGAACTAATGGTAAAGATACAGGCAAAAAGACCACTGTCACTAAGGATAAGGATAAGGCCAATAACCCATCGTCAAGTCAAAACAGTAAAAATGATAAGAACAAGCCCCCTGCCTCAAACAACCAAGAACAGCTGATTACGATGGCAGATACAAATGTTGTAAACAATATTCCGGCTATTATCACTAGAAATAGTACGATTGGACATCTGAAAGGTCTGGTAATGGGAACTAGTTACTCAAGCCAACCTAACAATAGTGCTGCTAATTCAAAGGCCAACCATAACAGTGCAGAAGGAATGACGCTTAGACCAAATTTAAGGCAACCTACACCAAGAGTGCAAACTAATAAAAAGAACACGGGGACAACAGCTGTAGTTTCAAAAACTGGTACTACAAATCCAAAGAATCTTAATGCTGACAAGCCAAACAGCATGGAGAAGCCACAAGGAGAAGGGGAAGAAGAAGAGGACGTTTTTCTGTCTGGCCAATCAGACCCAGACGGTGAAGACGAGGACGAGGAAGATGACGAAGAAGAAGAAGAAGAGGATGAAGAGGAAGGAGAGGAGGACGCAGATGTAGATGAAACAGGTGCTGAGTTGAGTGACAACGACAGCCCTGTAAGAAGGGAGAAGCCAGTTCATACTGTTGCAGAACCATGGAATGATGTTTTGGAAACATTCATGAGATCCGTAAGCAAATTGCTGCTTAAAAACCAGAGACACTGTGGAGCCCTAATGTCAGGGATTAACAAATCTAAAGCTACCAAAGCTGACAAAGAAATGCTATGCGGCCACTTGGAGAAAATACACCAACAAACGTTGAAAGTCAGGTCCCAGCACCTGGACGCCATGCACGAGATGATGAGAATTTTTGCTAAGGTTTGCTACACATGTAAAGACCATTGTCAAGAGCAACAACAAACATCAACAATGGCAGGTAACCAAAGAAGTCACCCTAGCAACAGGGCGCCAAATACAAACAGGAATGGTAATAAGAGCAGATCACATTCAAGACCTAGAAATAGGTACAACAGCAGATCACAATACGAAACCATGGATGCTAACACCAACGCCACTACACCTAGGCAGCTACGAACCAGAACTTTTGAAAATAAGGAAAGGCAGAAACCAGCATATGCTGACATTGTGAGAAGGGGAAAAATTGCCAAGCCAGTGGAAAAAGAAAGAATAATCACAATTGTAGACACTCAGCCTGTCGAAGACCAAGAGGGTGACCTACGAGAGGTCTTCAAGAACAAGGTGGATCTAAGACAATTGAGAGCAGGGGTACAGAGCCTCAGAAATAAAGGCAAGAATCGTATTGAAATTATATGTCCAACCGTCCAGGATAAAGAAAAGATAGAGAAATCTTTGAAAACAAGTGAACTTGGGAGCCTCAAACTGGTTAACACACGTCTTCCAGACACACATGTTATTATCAGAGGAGTAGACGGATCTGTTAATACCCCTATGGATAGTTTGTTCAGTCAGAACGAGGAGATTTTCGGTAATGAAAACAATGTAAAAGATAAGGTTACATTCGTGCGAATGGAGAACAACGTCTGGCGTAAAGGCAACAAGAACCTTATACTAAGGGTGGAAAAAGATCTTTACGTGAAACTCTGTAGAGTTGGGATGGTGAAAATTGGGTATCAATATTTAAGAGTCGGTCCCTACGCGGAGGTTAAGAGATGTTATGATTGCCATGGCTTTGGCCACATTGGAGCCCATTGTAAAGCCAAGGAGAAAGGCAGTTATGACGGCAAGGAAAGAGTGAGCATATGTTATTACTGTGCGGAGAACCATCCTGGCAAGACATGTCCAAACAAAGAGGATAGGAGCAAGCATGTATGTCTAAACTGCAAACATAGTCCAAGATACAAAGAAACTCAAGGAATTGGTCACGGCTCCACTTCCTATAGTTGCCCCATATACAAAGGGATAGTGAACTATGTTAAGCAACAAATGTACCAAATCCTTAACAGTTAATTCGATCAAAGTATTACAAGAAAACGTTGGTAATAACATCAATGAAACGTCAATTGCCATAGATAATGCCGTGAAGACAAAATGTAAAATATTAACACTACAAGAAGTGCCGTCATTTAAAGGGCGAGTAAAAGGTATACCCTATCGAGTCAGGCAATACACCACCAGAATTCCTGAAGATGATAGACTACACTGTAAAGATACTGCCATAATTGTGATAGATAACGATCTCATCTGCAAAAAGCTTGAAACAAAAAGTAGATTCATAGCTGGAATCTCTGTCAAATTGGAAGATCAATGGATTAACATAATCTCAATTTACATCCCTTCGGATAGTAGGCGTAAAGGTGTCTTAGACTCTCTCAAGGAAATATGCAACGCGAGTCAACCTACAATTATAGCTGGTGACTTCAATGGAAGATCGATACAATGGGGCGATACTAAAACCAACAAGAAAGGTAGAGAAATAGAGGAACTGATAAACACAAGTCATCTCGAACTT